GAAGGCATGACGGCAGGGTTAGGACATGAGAAAGGGTCTCAGCTCGCCTATCTATGACCAAATAGTCTAGTTCTTAAAATTTATTCCTCATTAGAGGTATTATCACTAATTAAGCTTTAAGGATAATTATTCTTTATGAATAAATGTTTAGTAAGTTAGACAGATATGTTTATATTAAATCATATGCTGATTTGATTTTAATTTTATTTAACACCATAGTTACGAAACTAAGATTGGAATTTTAATATGTTATTATTAGAAATATGAGGTATGTGGATGAAAACCATATGACGGAAGAGTTAAGAAGACTGGAATGTTTATACCAGGGGAATAATAATTATTAAGACCTAATTGATAATAATATCTCTTTAATAAGGAATAAGTTTTAACACAGACAATTTCGTATGTCCTAATCTTGCCGTCATACCGTCACGAAGGAGAGTGTCTCGTGGACTGCGTCAATCTCAACGGCATATTAAAGCCAAATGGCCGTAGCATTAGAGTAGGATCCACCTACGAATCTCTTCATCATGAGCTTTCATACGAAATTAAAGTATCCATAACAAGGTCTGGAGTATAATTTGTATGAAGTTTCTATCTCCGCTAAAGTCAAAAAGCTATTTATTCTAGTTAATTTGATATTGTTTCTCCATTCAGATAGCTTGAGCTAGAGAAGTAACATATTGTGGTAGGAACCACTTAAACATAAATATTAATAAATTTGTATAAAATTAAAAAAAAATATCATTGAATGAGAGTTGACCAATAAAAAATAAAGAGCGAACCAGTTGGGAATATTGTCTGCATTAAGCAAGGAGTCCAGGCAGGTGTCTTCAAACCCCTGCATACCAGAAAGACGTCTTCGTGAAGTGTCCTTTTCAACTGGAATTGACATCGTCAATGAATTAGGTGATAAACAAGTACACGACATTCGTCTATTGTTTTTTAGACTTCTATGATTACTTATCTCAGCTGACAAGAGTTCCGGTGAAGCTCGGAATGTAGAGGGCTTAGAATACTTCTTTTTTACTGCCGTAGCCATGGCAATTGGAGAAGCAAAAACCTGGCGACATGTGTGTTCCCTTTCCAAACTCGTCGACAAATGAGGTGTCAACTGTGGGACGGAATTATGCTGAGGACAGGAGCCTGACTCAAGAGCAATGGGGCTAGGCCCCGATATCATCGGTGAGGAATTGCCAGTGGTGATAGAAGTGCACATTGATCTTGGTATGGCGCAAGATGAAGAGGTATTCATGGAGGCGGCAGAAGTGGTGCTAGGAGGGGTTGGGCTGAATCTCTTCAAGAATAATGAGGATGGCCATGCAACTGAATAGAAGGGTAGGGTTCTACGATGGCGTAATTCAATCATTGACTATTAAATAAAAAGAATGAATAATGATAACAAAATGTGAGGAAGCATGAATATCGGGAAAAAAAGGGGCAAATGACTTAAACCAATAAACAAATGGTCTTAAAGAAAAACAGAATAAGGGGCTGAATGGTGATGAAGAAAAATACGAGATATTTAAATAATATCAACAAAATAATGCTCGAATTTCGCAATAATTAAAGAGAAGTACAAAGAAGGAAATTAAAAAGCGATTAATCTGGAAAACTTAAGGAGTAAAGTAAAAATTTGGGGCTATTTCTTGGTGTGACTGAAGCAGAAAATATGAGCACAAGACATTTTAAAGGGCATTTAGATTCTGATTCTTAGCGATATAAATCGGCAAGTAAATATAAAAGTGTATCTAGTGTGCATGATAAAATAAGAAGCATACCTTGTGGGGCGTAGCAGTCCCATTATTGACATCTTTCCACGGCAAAGGCTCATCATTATAATAAGGTCGTCTATCAGATAAATTACGAAGATAGGAGACTTGGGCCATGTGCCGGTGCTTTTCGGCCTCCATAGTACGCAGTGTCAGTTGTCTGAATAAAGAATAATTTAACAAAATGAAATAAACGTAAGAACTTAGAACAGCGTTGTCAAAAAAATGTTAGGCTATAATGGAGGAAGCTTATTTTTTTTAATATATTAATTAAATTTTCAAAGTATATATATATATAAATATATCATTGCTGGGAGATAATTGGGCTGATCCATAATATAAAGTCCATGGATGCTTGATCTAAGTTTCTATTTAATATCCCCATCGCTCAAACTGTGAGATGCAACAAAGAATCAAGTTTTTCTAGCAAAAGTGCTAGCAGACATGGCATGAATTGTGTGGCTTGAGGGCGGCTGATGGCAAAGGGCAAACGAGTTAATTGCAGTATTAAGCAGTTACGGAAGAAAATGCAAGAGTAATAAATTGGCATGACTATTCTATATAAATTATTTCATGAAGCATAACTCCCTGGCAAAGTAGAATATGGTGAGAATGTGGCATAAAGTTCAGAGACTTTATACAGATGTCTTAAGTTTGGTATACACCAAATCACCCGCTTCCAGAGGCATGCTCAATTCTCCTGAACCAATAAAAAATTAGTGCAGTATTTAGGCAACACAATGAGTATCGTAGCTCAGCATCTATGCCCCATACATTTGTGCCGTAGAAACGTCAGTTTGGCTTTCAATGACGAGAACCCGACTCATTTATCGAAGGGGTAAGTAAAGTCCAAGAGAGCAATTCGTTGAGTCCGCGGCTACGGGACTTACTAATCACGTAACTTATGTGAGTATTGCCTTGTTGCATTCGACAGAAGCTAACAGGAATTTATAATCGCTTGCACATTGATCTTCATAAGTAATAACTTAAATCCATTGCTAAACATTTTTTTATTCTCCAGACTTACGGCTGTCTCAATGTGCTATCGTGCAGAATGCAAAGTCAGATCATAAAAAAAAACTAAACTAGCTACTTTATTGCTAAAGGCATACAATTTAGTGCTTAGTGCTGAGTATTGGTAATGAAACAGCACAAGAGTTTTGCCAATCAATTACAAAACAAACAGTATTTTTTAATTCATGCTGTTGATTATTTCCTTTCGTTTGAAAGGACAGGTATGAAGGATTTTCAAAGTAGTCCCAACGAAGACCAAAAATGTCAACATGACGTTATGCATGATGATTTAAGAATACAAGCCCTCAGCACACCTTCCTCCGATTCAGATGAGTCCACATAAAGCTTTTGTATGTGCCTTCATGAGAGACAGCACTAGATCATGAAACTATTCCTTAAGAAATTATCATAAATCCATATTAAATTATCATGAATACTATTACAGAAGACGCAGAACCAGGTACATTTCATAAATTTCCCCTGTCGCTACGATAAAATATAAAAAAATGAGATCGAACCAACACTATCCATTAATAAGACTTACATAGCATTAAGAATAGAAACTTAGCCAACTTAATAAGGCATAATTAGACATCCCATGAACTGAATGGATATGTCATGCCTACAGACAGGTGAAGTGACCGGAGAAAACGTGTAATTAGAAAACTGTTTCCTTACCAAAATCATTTTCACTTTGATATTAAAATGTTGATGTGTGTACTCTTGTTCATTTGCACATGCTTGTGTGTATGCAGTACCTATGGGGCATGACGAATGAAAGCGCTGACTTGCGTGGAGTTTTTATATATGCTCTCCCATTCTCTAATCCTACATAGCAACAATAAGAAATTGCTTATTTATTCAGGATGCTTGTTGTTTGGTTTATTTCCATGAAAGTCAAGTTATTAATCCCTTTAACACAAAAAGAAGGGTACGACAACAAAAATGTATCGAAGAATTTCTTGAAGTCAAGATTTCCTTCCTAGTATTTTTAAATGATTTTTTAATCATAATCTAGTACGATTCCGACCCGGGCTAGGAACAGTCCAGGCCGGAGTTGAGCCTAGGATGTTTGATTATAAATGAGAAATAAGCCCAGAAAAAATGCTAACTACTTTAGAGAAGTCCTAATATGCAATAAGTATACTTTAAAGCCGTTTCTCTTCATTAAATAGCTAATTTACGGACGCACTAAAAATTTGCGAGTTAGTCAAATTTGGATGACAGTCAGTCCAGGAGTCCGTTTTTCAAGATTGCATCAAAAATCTATCTTGTCGAGGAAAATAGCCAGGGTATCTATAGTGTTGGTTCGACCTTGTTTTCTTACCTTGGTTAGGGCGTCAGGGAGACCTTGCGAAACGTACCTAATCCCGTGTCCTCTGTAATAGTATTCGTGATTTCCATTGGCTGAGTACATTCATAAACGACCAATGCTGGAAATCACGAATACTATGGCAGAGGACACGGGACGTTCCACAAGGTATCCTTAACGCTTCGACCAAGTTGCGAAAACATGGTAGAACCAACACTTTAAAGCTAAAGGAGACTGCGACCCATCAGAAGGCCACAGCATCTTGGTCTTCATATCTGCGATCTAATTCAGAGCACATATAACCACCTGAAAATGATGTCATTTTGACTATAGGCTCAAATGTAGGGAGTAGACCTATTCTCAGGCGGGTTACTCTATTTATTTGTATACTTTTTATGCAAACATAGCAACAAAGTACAGAATTGGAACTGTTAATGGTTCCAAGGAACTCACTCTCGTAGCCTTTGAACATCCAGTTGGCAGGCGTGAAGCTGCTGACGCAATGCTTGAAGATGGTCGGACGAGGGACTATTAGGGGCCATAATTGACTTAGATTCCTGCTTCAGATGATCGATTTGTGCAAGCAAGTCTATATGAAAGGAAAGATAGCAAGATCAACATATTATGGCCGAGAAAATTGAACAGTAAAATTTCAAGCATTAAAATGAATGTAGGTGCCTCCATTAAGGCTTGCGTTAGTGATAAAAGACACAAAGTTTCTACATCATAATGACTATTCACTAGAATAATAGAATTGTTCAATAGTAGTAGCTTACCAACCAAGAGAGCTACTTAGGGCGAAGAGGTAGATTAAAAAAAACAAATTTCTATATAAATGGAGCGCAGATCAGTATAAGGGTAAAAATTATGCACACTGAGCACTTGAATGCAGAATCGTTGGTCGCTTAATGTCTAATAATGATATATGAAT